TTTTGTGATAGGGCAACAAGAGAGAAGCATGGAAAATGTTGTGGATCTTCCATCATGAGGGAATCACGAGGTGATAAGTGATCAGAGATAGGACATCAGAGATGACAAAGGGTCCTTCTTGTTTTGGGGTGAGTTTTCTATTTTTGTAGGAACATTTAAAGTTCCAGGCTTCCAGCCAGACCTTATCACCTTTCTGGAATGGGGTGAAGGGTCATGATGAGTGATCTTTCATAGTTTTTCTGGCCAGGTCATGTGCTGCAAGGGCTTCCTCCCTGGCTTTTCAGAGTTCTTTGAGTCTAGACTCAGCAGCAGGAAGGTGGGTTTCTGTGATAAGGGATGGAAGTGGTTTTGGTTTGTAGCCATACATGAGGTAGAATGGTGATTGATGGGTGATGGAATGAGGGCAGTGATTGTGCATGAATTCAGCCATTGGGAGATTGTCCACCCACAGGGTGGGATCACTCTGACAGAAGATGTGGAGGTATGTTCCAACCTCTTGATTTACATGTTTGGTTTTTCCATCAGTCTGAGGGTGATAAGCTGTTGACAAGGCAAGGGAGTATCCCAGGAGGAAAGTGAGTTCTTTGGCAAATGTTGAGGTGAACTGAGGGCCTCTGTTGGATATGATTCTGTCATACAACCCAAAGTGGGAGTAAACCCTTTTGAAAAAGAGTGCTGCAATGTCAGCAGTGGAAGCAGTTTTCTTCATAGGTGTTAAAATTACCCCCTTTGTAAGCCCATGGTCTACCATGACCAAAAGGGAATCATAACCATTAGAAAGGGGTCAGTCAGTGACCAGATCACAAGAGATCTGTTGAAAGGGGTGGGTCAAGGTTGAGGAGATGGGCATTAGGAGAGGTGTCATTGGGTTGGTATTTACTTTATTTTGCTGGCAGACAGCACAGCCTTCAATGTATTTTTGGATGAAGGATGCAAGTCCTGGCCACCAGAATTTGGAAGAGATGAGTTGTCAGGTTTTCAAGACACCAGGGTGCCCTGTGGAAGGGTGATCATGGTGGCTGGACACAACAGTCTGTTGGAGGATAGGGTCATCAGGGATGTGCACCCAGTCCTTATAGAGCAGTACTCCATTATCAAACTTCCAGTCAGAGAGATGGGACTTGAAAGGAAGTGGCATGTCAACATTCTCTATGGCTTGAAGAGCTGTTTGAACCATGGGGTCCTTCATGGAGGAAGATGTGACCTTCCAAGTGAGGTTCATATTGATGAGACTAACAAACATGGTTTGTGGAAGGAGGGTGACTCCTTTGTTGTCTTCATCATCATCATCATCATCATCATCATCATCAGGGACATGGTTGGGTTGGCAGGAGAGTGCATCAGGGGCTGCCAGGTCTTTGACTGGGATGTGTTCTAACTGCAGATCAAAGTCTGTGAGGTCAAGGAGCCCAGTGAGCCTGGTGGAGGTTTAGGTTCAGGGGGCTTTGAAGTATGTCAGGTGTTTATGGTCAGTAAAGACCCTGACCAGGAATGGTGATCCATGGAGGTAATGCCTCCAGGACTTCAAGCCCCTGATGACACTAAGAGTTCTCTATCATAGATGTCATAGTTTCTTTCCATGGGGTTAGATGACTGGGAGATAAAGGCATAGGGTTGCCACTGGCCATTAGAATCTTCCTGGAGGAGGATGCCCCTGGTTGCATACTTGGATGTGTCAGTGGTAATTGCAAATGGCTGGGAGGTGTTGGGCATTTGAAGGGTTGGTTGTGCCATGAAGATCCTTTTCAGAAGTTCAAACACATTTTGACACTTCTTTGACCATTCCCAGGTAGTCACATCCTTGGTAAGGTTGATTAGGGGTCTGGTGATGTCTGAATAGTAAGGAGTGAATCTTCAATAGAAATTGGTGAATCCTAAGAAGGATCATATGTCTTTGACCTTCTTTGGGATGGGCCATTCAGCAATGCCTTGGACTTTGACAGGATCCATGGCAACAGTGTTGTCTTTGATGATCATCCCAAGGTATTCCACCTTGGTCAGATCAAAGTGACATTTTTCCAGTTTATGAGGGAGTGATAGTTCCCTCATTCATTTGAGAATGTGACAGGTTCTTCATTTATGTTCTGTGGGATTGGTGGAGAAAATGAGGAGGTCATCCATGTAGATGACCAACCATCCTTCAGTGATCATGTCTCAGAAAGAGTCATTCATGAATCATTTGAAGGTGGCAGGAGAGTTACACAACCCAAAGAACATGACAGTTGGTTCAAAGAGTCCTTTGTGTGTGATAAATGTGGCTTTCCATTGGTCTCCATCTTTGATATGGATGTTGATATAGCCTGATATGACATCCATTTTTGTGAAGATAGATGCACCCTTGAGTTTGTCAACAAGATCTGAGATGAGGGGAAGGGGATATGCATCCTTCACCATATTTTTATTCAGATATTGGTAATCCTGACAGGGATGAAGGGAGCCATCTTTCTTTCCAATGAAGAAGAATGGGGTGGCTTGAGGAGACTTTGAGGGGTGGATTTTGCCCTCATGAAGGTTTTCTTTGATAAATTTCTCTGCAGACACTCTTTCAGAGGGAGAGAGCAGGTATGCCTTTGCCACCTTGGGGACAAAGTCCTCAACAAGGTTGATGGCATGATCATAAGGTCATGACAGAGGAAGTACTCCATAAGAGGGTTGTTCAAAAACCAAGGTGAAGTCCTTGTAATTGTCAGGAAGGATGGCCTGTGGTTTCTTCTTATGTTCTTCTTGGGCTAACTCAGTAGCCATGGTGATTTTTCTAAGAAGGCTATATTTTGGATTAACCTTCTTGGCTTCTTCAACAAGTTTTCCTAGTGCCATGACAAAGTGGGCATGGATTGTTTCATCTTCTGGTTCTTCATAGTCCATAAACTTGTTGATCCCTTTCTTTTTAGCAAAGGGCACAAGGTTTATGGTGAGTTCTTCAACAGAAACCAAGGAGATGTTGCATGTGAATTCTTTAGACCTGTTGGTCTTTTCATCGATGGAAAGAGTTCCCATTCTCCAGTTGACAATGGGGTTGTGTTCTTGTAGCCAAGGGAGGCCAAGAATGACATTTTCTGATCCACAGTTGATGACATGGAAAAAGGACTGATGGGTGAGTCCTTTAACCTTGGAGTATAATGTGGTGGAAAACAAGATTCATCCCTTGGAGTTCTGGGTTCCATCCACATTTTTGGCAAGGATGGGTTCTGTGAGTCATTGAGTAGGGATTTGATGCTTTCACACAAATCCCCAGTTGATACATGAAATCTTGGCACTGGAGTCAATGAGCACAGTGGTGTTGATGACTTATCCAGTTCTTTCTGATATGTAGAGTGTAATGGGAATTTGCATAGTACAATCTGGGGTAGAGGATACTAGTACAGGTGCAACAGAAAGAGAACTGTCCTTAGTATTGGGAACATCTGGCATCAATGCAGAGTTCCCTTCTAAAAAATCCTTTCCCAATGCCTTAGCAATATTGACTAAGGCAATGGAGGGGCCAGCAACTTTTTCTTCATCATTGCTTTCCTCAACTTCTACAATCTTTCAGATCTTTTTGACCCTCTTCTGAGGGGTCTTCCCTTTGTCAGGGCATTCTCAAGAGAGATGTCCTTTATTTCTGCAACTGAAACATCTCCCTTCTTTGATGTAATGGTCTATTTCTTCTTTGGAGAGTCTCATTCCATCCACATCCATAGTGTTAGGATCTTTTTCTTCTGAGAGGTTGTTCTTTGGGTAGAATGCTCTCTTTTCCTTCTTTCCTGAAAGTTCATTCACCTTTCTCCACTTGGTGTCAAACTTCTGTGCCTGCATGTACCACTCAGTGACCTTGGTGGGAGTGGTTTCCATCATATGGATACAGTTCATGATGAAAGGTTTGAGTCCTTGTGAGAAGAACTCAATCAAGGCAATGTCTTCTGTGATGGTTGAGTTGGCAGTGGCAGTTCAGAAGTTGGTGATGTATTGTTCCACTGAGTCTTTCTGTTTCATGGTATGTAACTTGGCAATGGCAGTACTAGCAGTGTCAGGGGAGGTGAATGAATCTTTAAATTCTTGCTGGAAATTGGCAAAAGAGCTGAAACTTGGGGGGTTCTTTTCCAGAGACTTTTCTGGAAGGTTGCTGCCCAAGAGTGAGCAACCCATTTCTTCATGTACAACAACACATAGATGACCTTTTTGGTGTCAGTGTCATACACTTCTTCATTTACCATGAGGTACTTCTGGACTGAGTACAGCCAGCTCATGGCATTTTTCTGGTCACTGTCAAAATTGGACAGGGCACCAATCTTTAGTTCAGTGGCTTTGATGGCAATAGTGCCAGTCATTGCCTTCAATGAACTGGACATCATGGGCAGGGTTGGGGGTCTAGGGAATGTGACAGGGGGAGGTACTGGTGGGATGGGAGTACTGAGAATGGTGAGAGACTGGTTAAAGAGGTTTGAGAGGATACCTGAGGTAAATCCTCTGTCCAGTTGTTCAGGTTTGTCAGAGGAGGTGTCTGTGACAGTGCTCTCCTGTTCTTCATCAGAGGATGATTCTTTTGTGTGGGTCACAGTGGCACCTGATGTCAATTGTTTCAGGGGTTCATGGTGGTGCACTAAACAGTGACCAGTTCAGTCAAAGGCTGTCAGACTTGAGCTTTTGTTATGCTGAGACTGAAGTCAAGGCATAAGGGGAGCTCAGCTGCAGACTGAGGGTTTCTACTGAGCAACAGCTGCAGTAACAGTAACCTTTGTAATGATGAAGGATTTAGTCAATGCTGGTAAGAGATCAAACACAAGGTAATCATACAGTGAAACAAGAGAAAACAGGGGTGAAACATAACAACCACCAAGGCACTGAACATGGCCACTCCCTGAGGACTGGAGTGAGTTCAATGACATTAACAAGATCATCATTTGGCAGCTGATTTGTACTGAGTACAGGGTCACCTTCCCTCATCTCTATGACTCCCTTCCCCATTTGGTTCACCTGTCACCATACCACCACCCCAAGAACATGTACATCCATACTGATGACCCCAACTTCCCACCATCTACTTTGACCCACTTATCAACCCCATTTCTCTCTTGTGGTATGATGCCTAAGAATGCACCTCTGGTTTCGCATGAAGATGTGATTTTCAGGCCTAATGATGCAGATGACAATGACTTTGAGTTGCCTGAGGACATTGAGCCTTTCCTTGCAGAGCAGCCACTTGAGAACAATTTAGCTGCTGAGGGTATTGCACTATGGTGGGCACCTGATCTGTACAACTGCCATTTTGGATGGACAAGGTGTGCTCAGGACCTCCCTCTTGTCAAGAATTGGTATCTTGAGCATTGCCCTCCAGGCCAACCTGCCAAAGTTTGTGTGTTGTACCAGAAGCTTCTCAAGTGCTTCATACTCAATGAATTGAAGTGCCACCCAGAGAAAGCTATGATGAGCAAGAATCTATTCCATCAGCTCAGGCAACAAAGTCCATCCAGACAATGAGACTGGATTGGGTGGAAGCAGGCTTACAAGTCTGTGGGCAAGGTTATGATGTGCTTAATCTGTTGATCCATTGAGAGGTAAAATTATCTTAACTTGAAGCATGGAAGTGACTCTGATGTCATTTCTGTCCCATAGAATCTGAACTACCTGCACCTTGACTATAACATGAACTTGAAGCCCATCAAGACACTGACAATGAAAGAGCAAAAGAAGTTTTACTTCAGAAATGCTTTCCATCTCTACTGCGAGATCTTGTGTCTTACCAAGCTTGTTATTGATGTGCATGTCCAGTATTGGCTCAGCAGTATCAATGTGTTCCAGCTTGCTGATGCACTGCAGTATATTTTTGGCCACATCAGTGCATTGACTGGAATGTACTGCTACAAGTATATGGTCAGTTTTTACCTGTTTATATTGCACTCCTTTCTGCTGACACATGATCTTTCCAGTTGATGGGACAAGTTTGCATGATGAAGGGCCTCAAGCACCTAATTTATTAACATTTCAACACTGGTCCCATTGACAAGGGTCCAGTGTAGCAGCTTTTGTGCACTTGGATGGTGTGTCTGGCTTTTTTTCATGTGTGGTATTGTCCCACCACTCAAACACTGGCTGAGTAATCTCCTGGCTCTTCAGTTCAAGGGGTGTAAATAGCAAGGGTATGGCCAAAACTGTCACCAAGCAGCATGTTGAATTGCATTACAATCTTGAACTGCATGCAGGTGTCATGCACAATATCCTCAACATGATGCCCAAGTTGATCAAGCAAAATCTAGGAATGCTGACTGCCATCAAAAACATCCTCCAGTATGTGAAAACAAGGCAGACTGGTGGGTCAGTGTGGCTCATTACAACTAGGAACATATTCGATGTGGTGAGACTATCAACAAGGCTGTTGTCAAGAAGAACTTGGGATATCTCACACATGAGTATCATCTGAATTATCACCATGATTTTACTAACATATTGTTTAGGGTTATACTTGAAGGCTGAACAGGAGAGGCAGCATGGTTACCTGAAAGATGGTCCATACATTAGTGCAGAAGAGGCTGTCACAATTTACACTGCAACTGTCCACTGGCTTGAGAGCTGTAAATTTGCTCTCATTCCCTTCCTGTCAGTCAAATATTCCTTGCATTGCTAAGGTTTTTTGCTGATCTGAATACTAGCCCTCTCTCTTATAAGCATGATACAAAATTGCTTGTACTTGGTCAAGGGCCATCTCAACCAGTTGCAACAAGAGGAGCTGGCACTTATCTTATTGAGCAAGCATATGACAACCACCACAAGTGTAAGTCCTAGTGCATCTCTTCTCTGGCAGTAATAGTGTGGGGGCCAGCACTAACAATATTATAATTATTGCAGTGTTGTGTGTTTGCACAGACCACTGGGCAGACTACATAGATGTCCAATGCAACATGTATGAACAAGACTGGTGTCATGTTCATCATCCTCAGTGTTCTTATAGGTGGTGTAGATGGCACAGAAAAGTCACTTTATTTGTTTGATTTGCTTTGGTCACCACACTAATCAGGTCCCAGTTAGTTTTAAACAGCACCTCACTGACTCCATGCAACAATTGGATCATTGTTCACATCACCATCCTGCTCACTAGTGGTGACTAGTCCATGCCTTGAGGTTTGCTCATGTTTGATATTACACTCAAGCCATAATTCAGTTACAAGCACCATGGCTTCATCATGGCACACTATTTTTCTGTCAGGTCCATCTGTTGGAAGCACATGCTCCACTCCCACATTCAAAAGGGCATTGAGGAACTCCCTGATGACTTATTTCTCATCCCCCCCCATCACACTGCATCTGAGTGTTCTGACCCCTTCTGTGATGAATCTCAGTGGATGTTCAACATCTGCACTTGCTGATCTAGATGAAGCTGACACTGGGGAAGGTAATCAATGGACTACCATGAGTGTCTCATCTGGGTGAAGCAAAAGCAGTGGTAATCTTGCAGAGGTTTGTAATTATATTTAAGTTCAAATATTGTTCTCACTGACTACCTCACAGGCACTGAAGGCTGTTCAATTGCAACTTGACATAGAGAAATCCTGCAACTGAGAACTACTGGAGAAGAATACAATCCTAGTGGCAAACAAAACATGCTGCTCTACTAAAGATGTTCCTGCCAACATACAGAAGGATGGATGAACACTTAATTTGATGCTCTGAGCTGCACTGAGCTCAGGGAGGACTTGGAGCAAAGCTGATTGATGAAAGATGATAATAAGCAAAGTAGATGATAGTTAGACCCTTAATAAAGTCTCAACTATTGAAGCTGATGAATGAATTACTGAGAGATGATGAAATTTGAGCAAGAGGGCTCTCTGATGTCTTCTTCTTCTTCAGCTATCTAAGCACAGTGATTTATATACAGTACAGGGGTGTTGCCTATGGAAAACAAGGTGCAAACACTTGCTAGGTGATTGGTTACTGATGAGTAAGGCATGTAAGCAATAGGTAATTGTCTTAGAAAGCATTGGTGAGCACTGGTAAGGATAAGTAAGCCAAACAGCAAAGAATCAGTAAGCAAGGTCAAAAGATTGGTAAGTATTGGCAATAAGTGAGTCAAAGACAGTCAGAATGTCAAAGTATGAGTCAAGTAATGTCAGAAACTGGGAAAGTGCACTGGAATCACATTATGGGGAGGCTGTGCATGTCACATCTTGAAGAGATCACTTCTGGGCCAAAGTGGGATGACAGAGAGGCAGCACTGATCTGATGCCAATATAGTACATCCAAATGTGGACAGGGTGAGTCAGATGTCGACAGGGGTCAAGCTTTGGGGGTCTGTGGGGTGACAGGAGCATAGGGGATCACAACTTTCCCCCCCTAACTGTCCTCTCAGTGAAGCAAATAAAAACTTCATGAATGAGGCTCTGTTGGAAGAGAGGATGAAGGGGGAGCATCTTCTGCTGTATCTTAAAATAAGGAGGCAAGATGTGCATCATACTTGTCATGAATGTGATCAGGGAGAGTGGAGAACAGTAGATTCTACTGTAGCTGTCACAATTTTGGAAGAATGATGGATGAAACTGGTATGATGATGTTGCAGGGAGCAGGGAGGAAGGATCCATATGCTTCTTGGACTGGAGAGACTGCCATGACCACATAAGACCTTTCCAACCAAGCAAATGACAGACCTGAGGCAACCAAAGAATGTCCATCTGGAGGTCATACTGACAAAAAGAACATGCTGTCCAAGCTGGATGGGCTGAGAGGGGGCAGATGAGGATGGGATGTACCAGGATGCTTCAGGACAGAAGCTGGTAGGAACTCCTGGTAGATATACATAGCCATGGTCCCTAGCAAAGGGGACAAGTGAAATGATTGATGTGGAGGTGGCCATATCAGAAAAATTAGTGAAATGAGCATCTTGTGGAGGGAGCACTGTAGAAATCACTGCAGAAATGAGATTCTGTCAGTACAGTAAATAGACCATGGAAGGTGGTCTGCATGTCATACAGATGTGGCTAACCATATTCCTCAACCAAATTTGACTGTCAGAAATATCTGGGAGCTTTTCTGTATGAAATCCAGACTTTGTGAAATCCACTCAAGCCTTGGCAAAAATTCCAATGTATGGTTTGGAGACAGATCATGTGTCCATACCAAATCTATCATCCAAACAGATCAACATGTGTTCTGTCTACACTGTAAGGACTTCTCATCTACATGGATGCTGACTGACTTCCAGACAAGGGGATGGCTGGTTTTCTCAATTTCCAGACAATCTTCTGCTCGACTGCCTGCACACCATGACACCTTCCAGACAAGTCATTGACACTTTGTGAAAATGTCAACCTCAGCACCAAACCCATACCATGACCAACCTCATATTGTTCCAGCTCCCTATAACACACCCTGGAACCTATCATGTCAGTTTCATGCTGCTGATATCTGGCATTGTGGTATTTGGCTCATCAAATGATATCTTTGATGCAGACTAATTTTTCTTCTCCAAGACACTCGAGATAACAACTGTACTTGCTGTTGAACACAAAAGCACTCAAGTCCAAACTGATCCCATCATGGATGTCAAGCAAGATTCAGGTGAGTTTGTTAACATGGGTACCTATTATTTTCATCTAGTATTTCTGACAGTAATGCTCAAAATCTCTGAATTCCTGAAATCTCTGGCTCACAACAAACAACCTGTGTGCACCTCTGAATGTGGTGAGAAATCCATTTCTTCATCATTTTCTAATATGCCATTGAAAGCTATGTCAAAGGATGCAGCAGGTAAGTCCATAACATCAATTTTTTCAGTCAACTAATGGTCATTTTGCCAGATATCAATGACAGTACTAGTCTGACACCAGCAAAACACAAAAATGTGTTAGTGACTCATAGCTGCCCATAGTATTTGCACAATTCCATATTAGTCCAAAGCAATGTCAAGCATCCTAGCAACTCTGCAAGAGTAGACTACACCAGACTTGCCCAAAGTAGTGGCCAGCATCCAAGCAACTCATAGCACCTGAGTAAGCCACACCAGTGATACCAGCAATCCAAAGACCAATAGCTACCTAGCATACAAGGGAACAGACACACCTAGCTAATACAACAACCAAGATTCCCACTGTAGTAGAGAACTTGGTAGATCTAACTTCATTCCTATGCATGAAGGCAACAACACACAGACATAACATACAGCATTTTTCAATAAGTACAGGAAAGTAATGGATAGTACTAGTCTAGATGAATGGCAAGTATTTGACTACCCGCATGCTCAATAACTGTGCCTATCAAGATCTGGCATAAGTAAAATAGCGGCCCAAAAGAAAAGAGCAAGCATAGCATACCATTGGACTTGAGAGATGGCTGCAGCTCACTGGCCAGAACACTAACATTGAAAATAGGCTCCCCCAGTCCATGTTTTTTCATTGCCACACATAATGAGCCAACCTTCATATCTTTTTTGTGGACTCTCACCTTGCTGCTGCCCACCTTGTACTTGTACAACTTGGCCATCAATTTGTGTTTGTGGGTGATGCATGGGGCCAGAGCTTGTTCTGCATGAAAGACTTTGCATTGTGTGCATGCTACATCAAGAAGGAGAAGTGCCTCATGATTCAGCTGACTCTTTGATTCATGCTGCAGATTGAAAACCTATCAATGAGTGATTATTAGGAAGGAAAAAAAGAACTTACTGTGTGAGTGGATGACTCCTATATTCCATTCATCTCAGCTAAGACACTAGTTGTCTCCACTTTGACCTCAGCACTGCTAGAGGGGCTGTCGCAGGAAGAGAACCCACCATCACAAGGCTTATGGGGCAGTCCTTCACCACCTGGGCAATGCTTGACCATGGGCATGGTCAATCCAGCATGAAGGTGTGTGTGATTGAGGTTATAAATGGATATGAGTGACTATGTTCGTGAATGGGATGTGATTGGGTAGTAGTATGTTATGTGTAAAGTGTTTCAATTCATTTGCAGTGGGTAACCATCTCCACATGTCATTTCATTTTACATCTCACAAT